CCTATGATTCTCAGGTTTGGTCTTTTGATGGAGTTGGTGAGTTCTTGCATATTCCTTTTGCAGGTCTTGAATTGTTTACGAATAGCTCTTCAGTTTTTTTCTTTAATTTCCATTTTATCTTCAAGTTCTTAGATTATGACTTCTGCTTATTCTAGTCTGCTGGAGTGGCCTTCCATTGTCTTTTGTATTTCTGTTTCATTCTTTTTTCTGAGATTTTCCATATCATGGGTCACTTCCTCTTTAATATTGTCTATTTTCATCTTTTATTCATTTATTTCTATATTTATAGTGTTCTCTGTTTCACTTTGGCATTTATTTAGGGGTCTTATGAGTTCATTTATTTGTTTCTGTGTCTTCTCATTCTTTTTTTTTTGGTGTCTTGAAATTTCTTGAGTGCCTCTTGTACGTTTTGGTTAACCATGTCTAGTAACAGCTCCATGAAATTCTCAGGGATTATTTGCAGGATTTCTTCTTTGAGGGATGGTATTGCATGCATAATTGGGTTCCTTGGCATCGTTTATCTTTGTTTTGTTGGAGTCCATTACTGGGCATCTGTTTTCCTCATTTCCCTCTGAATCCTGTATTAAATTATTTTTAGGGAGAGAATAGTTTCCATTCCTTTTTCATCTTCCCATCGCTCCACTTGCTACTATGCAACTATGTTCTTGACAGGCTAGTTGGTGGTTCCGTCACCTGTTTTCTTTCCCTTGATTTTATTTTGTTTTGTGGCTATATTGGGTTTGTAACTAAGTGTGTGTGTGTTATTTCTGTCCCTGGTCTGGAAGTAATTTAGTATTTGCCAATTCACAATAGTAAAACTAACAACAACAACACCCCAAAGAAATCAATGTGGAGAGATGAACAAATAAACACAAACAAACAAGAAAAAGAACAAACAAAAAAAATTCCAGGTTCAGGAACAATAGAATTTCAGTCTTAGTTTAAGTTCTGGTGTTATGCTTCCAGCATCCAGTCCTGGTGTTGGTATTTAAGCTGAAGCTCTGTCATAGTCTCGCCAGATAGTTGGGTAGTATTTGTTTTTTTCTTCTGTCTTTCAGTGGCAGCTGCCTGGTCATCTCCACCTTCAGTGAGGTGTGGCAGTTTAAGTTTGCATGTTGTCTTCAGGTTCTGGAATAAGCTCTGTAGCCCACCAGCTATCATGCTTTGGAGTTGGGTTTTTGCTGTGCTTGTTTACTGGGGGCTTGTTGCTTTGCCTCACCCCCTTTCTCTGGGGCAAGGTCAGTGATCTGTCAACTGCCCCCCTGCCGTCAGCGTGTTGTGATGGTTCACTGTTTTTCAATTTTGCAATGTTGTTTGACTTTGGATGTTGCTCACTGGCTCAGGAGATGAGCTTTGTGGACTGCTATCTGCTCTATTTCAGGCAGCGGCTTACCACCAGCCCGCTGTTGGCCCTTCTGCCTTTCCAGCCTTTGTCTACTGTGTGGAGATCAGCTCCTTGCCTCTCCCCGCTTCTCCGGTGTGCTTTCAGCAACTCTGTCCCTCTGCTGTGTGTTAATTTTCAGTTCCTTGTTTATTGTTCAGTTTTTTTTGTGTGTGGGGTTGTCAGTCTGCCCAGGGGGCTATGCTGGTTTATCTCAGGGGTAGGTGGGGGAATACTGTATAACACTTGGTGCTCACCTGTTGGTCTGCTGAATGTCTCTCAAGCAGGTTTGGAGCAGGTGTCTGGCGGCGGTGGGAGCCCTCCTGTTTTCTCAGTGTAACGTGGTGTGGAGAAGCTTTCCACGGGCCAGGGGTTCAGGGTGTTGAAGTTTTGATTCTCCTTGCTGTTTTATTTCTGCCAAGTGTGGCTCCAGCATCTCAGTGAGGTTTTGGAGTCTTGGAGCTCATGCTGTCTGCTTCTGTGCCCTATTTGCCATCTTGGATCTCCTCCTTTACTTTCTTTGAAGTTCTAAACATGCTTGTCTGAAGTCATCTTCAGTGTTTGGGGGATAATACATTGGAAATACATTTTTCATTTCTTTTACTTACTATGTTAATCCCCTTCCTCTTGTTTAGTGCTATCTATGTATATAGGCCCAATCGAAATCTTTCTACTTCTTCTTTATCTGTGAGTAGGGTTGGGCTTCTGGGTTTTTTTGCTTTATGTAGTCATTCATAGCTATAAACTTTACTGTTAGCACTGCCTTTGCTGTATCCCAGAGGCTCTGGTAAACTAAGTTTTTTTTTTATTAGAGTCTAGAATGTTTTTTTGGTGACACTGGGGCTTGAACTCAGGGCCTCACACTTGTTAGCAGGTGCTCTTACCACTTGAGCCACTCTGCCAGCCCTCTAGAAATTTTTTGATATCCCCCCTTCTTTCTTCAATAGCTCACTGGTTGTTCAGCAATGTATTGTTCAGTCTCCATGTGTCTGAATATTTCCTATAGCTTCTTTTGCTAATGGTTTCTAGTTTTATTCCATTGTGATCTGATAGAATGTAGAAGGTTATTTCAGTTTTCTTATATTTGTTAAGACTTTCTTTATGATCTAATTTTGGAGACAGTTCCATGGGCTGCTGAGAAGAATATGTGTTGTGCATCTGCTAGGTGAAATACTCTGTAGATATCTGTTAAGTCCATTTTTTCTATAGTGTCAGTTAATTCTAAAGTTTCTTTGTTATTTGTCTAGATGATCTATTTATTAGTGAGAGAGGTATTGAAGTCTCTTACTACTATTGTGTTGGGGTCTATCTGTGCTTGTAAATCCAGTAGTGTGTGCCAATTGGGTGTGTCAATGTTTGGTGCACAATTATTATCTCTTCCTACTGGATTGTTCCCTTTATTAATATGAAGTGACATTTTGATTTGAAGTCTGTTTTTATCAGATATGAGTATAACTAATCCTGCCTGCTTTTGAGGTCCATTTACTTGGAAAATATTTTTCTGTATTTTCATCCTAAGCCAATGTTTGTCTTTGTTGGTGAGATGTATTTCTTTTCTTTCTTTCTTTCTGTTTTTTTAAGAGCCCAAAATATTTTATTTAACAATTTGCATTTAGGAAAAATAGCAGTTTCCATTCGGAGGAAGCTTCTTCTTCTTTTTCTTCTTCTTTTTTTTTTTTTTTGCAGTCCTGTGGCTTGAACTCAGGGCCTTCACCTTGAGACACTCCACCAGCCCTATTTCTGTGAAGGGTTTTTCAAGATAGGGTCTTGTGAACTATTTGCCTGGGCTGGTTTTGAACTGTGATCCTCCTGATCTCTACCTCCTGAGTAGCTAGGATTATAGTGGACAGAGCCAGGGCAGGGCTGGACTGGAGGGGGCAATGGTCTGGCCAGCAAAGAATGCCAGGAGCTGTCCACCCAGAGAAGCTGGCCTTTCTCAGTGACATATGGGAACAGGTGGGTCCAAGCATACTGGTCTAAAGAACATTCTGGAGAAATGCATTTATTGTAAGCAACAAGTGGTTGAGCCTTGATTTTTAATCCAACCTACCATTCTATGTCTTTTCATTGGAGAATTGAGGTCATTAACATTCAGTGTTAATATTAAAAGGTTTGTAGTAATTACTGCCATTTTGTTGTTTTTGTGATTTTTTTTTTTCTAATCTCATGTAGTGGGCTTTCTTCTTTCTTGTGTTTTCTGGTTGCATTTATTTATTTATTTTCCTCCTCTATGTGTAGGATTCACTTAAGTGTCATCTGCAGTGCTGGTTTGGTGGTCCTAATTCCTTTAGTTTTTGTTTATCATGGAAGGATTTTATTTTATTTTATTCTCCTTCTATTATGAAGGATAGCTTTGCTGGATACGGTAATCTAGGTTGACAGTTATTTTCTTTCAGAGCTTGGGATATATCATTCTATGACCTCCTTGCTTTTGGTCTTTCTATTGAAAAATTTGATGGGTTTGCCTTATACATGACTTACTGCTTTTCTCTTGCAGCTTTAGAAAGTCTGTTTTTTTCTGTATGTTTAGTCTTTCAACAATAACATGTTTAGAGGTGTTCCTTTTCTAATCTTGCCTGTGTTGATGTCTGCATGTTTGTTGGACCAATACTGTTACAAACATTACAGAGTGTTTCATACAGAAGGACTTTCACTTGCGAACCAGTCTTAGTGTGATGGTTGTAAAAGTGTGCTAGTTCTGCTTCTCAGTGTACTCAGCCATATCACCTCTGTGCAGCTTCTTCAGCTGTGCCCAATGTTGATGATGACTCTTGGTGCCTCAGTGGTCTTGGCTGTAGTCATTCATGGCTGTGGTGGCAGCCACAACAGTGACTGAGATGAGTCAATGGAGCACCTTTCCCAACACTGTGTGTTCCTGGGGTCAGTGCACAGCCTTAGCTCAGGCAGAACTGAGAGGAAATAGATGGGGGGGGCTTTATGATAGCTTGGCCCTGTCTTGTCTCTGAGATGGTAGGACACTGGGGGAGTAAGGTGGAAGGGTGGCATGACCACTTGCCCCTGGAACTGGACGCACTTTAGTACTGGTTGTGGTTCCAAAATGGTGCAGTGCAGCAGGTTGGGGCATAGTACTGGCTCCTTTGGGGGTAGCAGAGCTGTGTGGACCCCAGGCAATCTGCAGAGATGCCCATTGCTGAGGACTGCAGATATCTGTTCCAGGCAGCAGTGGCTGCTGAATCCTCTTGCTTATCTTTCCCTCCTTAGGGAGAAGTCCCTACTGATTCCAAGTTGATCTTGGTTGGCACATGGGGCAGTGGAAACCTGTTGTTTCCTTCCATTTTTTGTGTGGCATCTGGGTTTCTTTGCTCTCTGGGGTTTCTGCTACTTCTTTGGTAGCAGAACTCCCTTAGTTACCTTCACCAAAATGTTTCTGGTGGCTTATTGTTTTGGCTCTTTATGGGGTACATGAGCACTAAGGGCTTTTAGTTTGTCATCTTGTTGATGTCTAAGAAATCTGTCCATGTTTTTATTTAGCTAGGAGCAGAGGTGGAATTTTGTTTATCTTTTATTCTCATTGTCTAGCTGAGAGCTGACATGCAAAAAAGAAACACCAAACCTTTAATTATTTAATCAGATCATACTCTTTCTTTTTCTTCTCTAGGATGCCCTCGGCAGGATAGTGACATTGCTTTTTTGATTGATGGCTCTGGTAGCATCAACGCAAATGACTTTCAGAAGATGAAGAACTTTGTCTCAACAGTGATGAACCAATTCAAAGAGTCCAAAACCTTGGTGAGGGCCAGTGGGTAGGTTAGGGAATGGTCCATTTAATGCTGGCAAATGCTTAGCAACCAGGCTGCCATTCTTCTCCCCACCACACTGCAATTGTAGACATTGTCAGACTGACAATTGATCAGTATGTTATTTCATGATTCTCTTTTCTGTTCTGCCCCTGTGTAACCTCAGTAATCTTTCAGCCCTTGTAAATAGGTGGCTCTGACTAGCTGATAGGGGTTGGCATGGGAGGTGAAGCCCCCCCTATCCCCATGTCATCTCCTGCTGAGTTCTAGTGCTGGGGAGAAGGACTTTGGAAAGATTCGTGGACCACTCGCTGGGGATGAGGGGCGCCTTCTCCTGTGTAATGCCAGGTGCCTGCCTCCCAGTTCTCCTTAATGCAGTACTCTGAAGACTTCCGGACTCATTTCACCTTCAGTGATTTCAAGAGAAACCCTAATCCAGAATCACTGGTCCGTCCAATAAGACAGCTGCTTGGGAGGACGCACACTGCCACGGGCATCCGCAAAGTAGTGTAAGTTCTTCAGTCTTTGCTTGTGATGGGAAGAGAAAGAGGAGGAGAAGGAGGAGGGGAGGAGACATTTTTATCTGGGCTGCGAAGGGTAGAGGAGTCACTCAGACAGGGATGGAGTAGTCTTTTTGCAGCAGGAGGAGCAGTGGGGACAACGGATTGAAGGAGGGACTGTGTGAGGGCATGTTCACGAAGAAGCAAGCTGGCAGTAAAAGGGAGGCAGTGAGGGAAGAGCAGTGCGGGGAGGCTGGAAAGATGGATTGAGTCTGGGCTGGGGGTATAGCTCAGTGGTAGAGCACTTGCCTAGTAAGTGCAAGACCCTGGGTTCAATCTCCAGCACTGCGAGAAACAAACAAACAAAACAAAACAAAAGAAAGATGGGCTGACAAACTGAGAAAGAGAAATATCACGTTTTCTCTTATTTGTGGTATCTAGCCCTTAAAAAATGAATGGTGGATATTAAATGGGGACCATTTAGGGGTGGGATGAGTGTGTGGAGAGGACAAAAGGAGAGGGTGAATATGATCAAAATACTTTATGCACATATATGAAAATAAATAATGAAATGTTAAAATTGCTTTAAAAAGGTGGGATGAGAAATAGAAGGGAGGGGATGAATTAGATCAGAGGACATTATGTGCATGTATGGAAATATCACAATAAAACCTCTTTGTACAATTAATGTACATTAATTAAAAATAAAGAAAGAAAGCTGGGTTGAGTCCAAGTTACCACAGGCAATTTTGTAGCTAGGTGTGGATCCCTTGGCAGTATTTTTTTATTGGTGGGACTGGAGTTTGAACTCAGGGCTTTGTGCTTACAAAGCAGACACTCTACCTCTTGAGCCACACCTCTAGTCAATTTTTCTCTTATTATTTTGGAGATGGGCCTCATGAACTATTTTCCCTGTCTGATCTTGTACATGATGTTTCTGATCTCAGCCTCCCAAGTAGCTAGGATTACAGGTGTGAGCCACTGGCACCTGGCTCCTTTGGCAGTTTTAAGCAGAGGGGAGACATCTCACTGTTTTAGAAAGCTTGCTCTGAGTTCACTGTGTGTGTGGAGTTGAGTGTGAGCTGGGACACGGTCTAGGAAGATGAGCTCCAATGCCACTGTACTGTTCTAGGTCAGGTTCAAGGAAGGCCCAATGAAGTCTATTTCTTTAAAAAGTTTTTCTAAGTTTAAAAGTAATGAGATTCAGTTAAAAATATCAAACAATCTCCTCCTTCTTTTTTCCCCACTCTTCTGCCCTCCCTTGCTGCCTTTCCAGGTCTTGGGGGTCATTCCCTCCTGGACAGAGCCCAGCTATGTCGCTATCTGCCTACATTTTTCAGTGTCTCTCCTTTTCTCTACACAGAACAGAACTGTTCCACCACGCCAGTGGAGCCCGAGAGAACGCTGTCAAGATCCTAGTTGTTATCACAGATGGAGAAAAGTATGGTGACCCCTTGGACTATGAGGATGTCATCCCGCAGGCAGACAGAGCAGGGGTCATTCGCTATGTCATTGGGGTAGGAAATGTGGCTCCAAGGTCTGATGCTTCTGTGGATTGTTTCTACCTTGATGAACCTCCCTTCAGTTTGCAGATGTTGGTAAAATCAAAGAGAAGCAAGACCACTGCTAGCTAGCCCATACATAGCTGCAACACAGATGTATTGTAATAATAGTTCTGTGTAACAAATGATCCCAAATAATAAGTAAGTTCTTGGGGTGGCTTAATAGTTTTTTCTGGGCTCACTTATACATCTGTAACCAGTGGTAGTTGGTGGGCACATCTGCCTGGGATCTGTCTATTTCTGAGGGTTGCCTGCTGTTGGATAGATGATCTTGGCTGGACCAACTAAGGCAACTTGGCTCTTCTGCCAAGTGGGCTGTCCTTGTGATGAAGGCAGAGGAACCAGAGAGAAAATGAGGTGTTGCAGGTGCCTTTTCAGACCTGTTTGCATCACATTTGGTAACACCCATGGGCTAAACTGAGATACATGGCTGAGCCCAGAGACCATGAGGGGGCAGGCTATTCCACCCAGAGTAGGAGGGCACAGCCAAGGTTTGGGAACAATACTTGGGTACAAGAAGAGATAAAGGGTAAGGGATCATCAGTATAATCACTCGTCCACGGACCTTGTGCGACATAGAAAAAGGGGTCATCATGAATACATAGTTTGGCATGTAAGAAACACCTTCATATTAAGTCTCCCCTCCCTCTGGGGAGAGGTTGGCTCCCTACCAGGTGTTATAGTAGATAGATCAAAAGCCTCTAATTTCTCTTTTGCAGTGCACAGACTGTCCAGCTGTACTTGGCAGCCCCATTCCTGGAGCCTCTGTTGCATTCTCTCATTTCACAACTAATGCTTCAGAATCTTTCCCTAAGGAATTTTCTTTGCTAGGTGATACTGCTACCCCCAGAAAGTGTCTCATTTGGCTTTTGTTCCTTGGTGACAGGTGGGACATGCCTTCAGTAGTGTCGGATCTCGCCAAGAACTTAACACCATTGCATCCAAGCCACCTCGGGACCACGTGTTCCAGGTGAATAACTTTGAAGCTCTAAAGACCATTCAGAATCAACTGCAGGAGAAGATCTTTGCCATTGAGGGTGAGTTGGCTGTCCTCGCTTCCAGAGAAGCCCTCGATTCAGACTAGCCCTGCCCACTTGATAACCTGACATCAAACACCAGCTCTTGCCACTTGGGCCTCACCTGGTCCATTCCTTTGAAATTAGAGAATCTACATTTTGTCTCTAATTTTGTAAGTCTGATCTATAGGAAGATAAATTTTAGTATGGTGGCATCAAATCCTACACAGTATTTTTCAAAAAGAATTTATGTGTTGGGCTGGGGATGTAGCTCAGTGGTAGAGGAGTGTTTGCTTAGCAGGTGCAAGGCCCTGGGTTCAATTCCCAGCACTGCAAAAATTTTTGAATGTGTTGTCAGCATTTATGTTTGATTTACTGTTGTGTCTCCTTTGCCTAGAATAGCGCCTGGTACATAGAAGGTGTTCAATAAATCTTTATTGAATAAAGGAATATAGAAATTAGGGAATTTCATATATAATCTGGATTTCTGACTTCTCTTGAAAAGTTGAAGGATACTTGGAGATTCCATTTTCACATGACAAGAAGTGACTGCAGCTGAGTAGTTGCTATCCTTTTAAGGGTCCTGTCTCAGCCTCCTCTTGCTATGCCACCATAGCATTTGAGCTTCTGGTACCTATCTTCTCTGCTAGCTTTAATGTCGAAAGCTGTCATCCTCACAGGTACTCAGTTGGGAAGTACCAGCTCCTTTGAGCACGAAATGTCTCAGGAAGGCTTCAGTGCTGCCATCACTTCTGTAAGTGCTCTGTCATTAAATTGGGGACACACGAAGAGAGAAGAGGTGCCAGGGTTTGGAACTCTTCTCTGTTATGGGTTCGTGTAGGGAGCTACCTCTCTGATGGACAGCTGTGGTCTCTTTTGTTTTCTTGCCCATCCTGTTCTCCCCCATTTCTCAGAATGGACCCTTGCTGGGCTCTGTGGGGAGCTTTGACTGGGCGGGTGGAGCCTTTCTGCATACATCGAAGAATAAAGTCACCTTCATCAACACAACCAGGGTGAATTCAGACATGAATGATGCCTACTTGGGTAAGTGGGGAATTTCTGAGCAGGAGTCAGGTTGAGTTACGTGTAACTCAACAAGTGCAGATGTCATTGGATCATCCATGGGCCTTTGAGATAGTTGTAAAGACTGAAATTTCAATTTTTAATTTTAATTATGCTCCCAAAGAAGAATATAGTGCGGGCTCAGTTACCCCAAATTACCAAGCATGCGGGTCCCCTTGGTCCTATGGAAGGATGGGTTTGTGTGGTAGAAAGGATGGGGGACAGGGTCTGTGATGGGAAGAACATTGCCTATCAGAGCTCTGTTCCAGGCTATGCTTCTACGGTCATCCTGAGGAACAAGGTGCAAAGCCTGGTTCTGGGGGCACCTCGCTATCAGCATACCGGCCTGGTGGTGATGTTCAGACGGAATTTTGATACCTGGGAGGCCAATGCTAATATCAAGGGCAGCCAGGTAAGTACAGAGTGCAAGGAGCAGGAATGTGCAGAGAAATTCCGGTGCCATGGGTGGCATTCCAGGCTGAACCTGGAGTCACAGGATCAGCTTTGCCTTTGAGAAGCTGCATCCTCAGTTTTCTAACAAAAAAAAACCATGCCTGACCTGCAGAGAGCTGTCTGAGACCACCCATACCAGAGCATGTATTCAACCAGTACATAACCAGAATAGCCTCTGTAGTTATTTGATACTGAAATAATCCATATCTGTGGAGAAGTGGCTGCGTCTCTGAGACTCCCCAAATGGACAGGCTGATCTTAAAGTTCATGTAGAAACACGAGAGGCCCAGAGGAGCCAAAATAATCTTGAAAAAGGAGAACAGTTTTCAATCAAGATTTACTAGTCAACAGAGCTAGAGAGTAGATTAGTAGTTGGGAAGGGATGGGGGTGACTGCTAACCAAAACCAGTTTCTTTCTGGGGAGACAGTGATGGAATGGAACTAAGGCTGATGGTTACACAACATTCTGAATGCACTAAAAACCACTGGAATTTAAACTTTCAGATGGTGAGTTTGCATTATGTAAAATTTGTGGGTTTCTTTTGATGGTACTGGGGTTTGAACTCAGGGCTTTGCGTTTGTGAGGCCGGTGCTGTACAACTTGAGCCACACCTCCAGCCCTACATTATATAAATTGTAGCATAACTTTAAAAGGCTGTTTTGACATAGTAGGGCACAGCTGTAATCTTAGCTACTCATGAGGAGGAGGTAGGAGGATCATGGTCCAAGGCTGGGGGGACGGGTAAAGTTAGCTAGAGACCATGTCTGAAAAACAAACTAAAAACAAAAGGGCTGGGGTGTGGTTAAGTGGTAGAACGCGTGCCAGCGCTAGGTCCTGAGTTCCATACCCAGAACGAAAAAAATAAAAAGGACTATTTTGAGAAAAAAAAAACCCCAACGAAACTCATCACAACAACAGATTAAACACCATGTAATCATTTTAGATATAGAAAAAAGAACTTGACAAATTGTAACATCTTTTCATCACTAAAAAAAATCTAAAAATGAATTAGGAACTAAGGGAACTTCAACTTAAAAAAGGTGTTTACAAAAAGCTATGGCTGTTCTCATACTAAAGTGGAAGAGAAGACTTTTCACTTAAGGTGGTAACAAGGGGCTGTTCTTCCTACTGTTCCCTACTATTCTATGAGTTCGAATTTGTAATTTTCCTCCCTCCCTTCATCCCTGCTTCCTTCCTTCCTTCCTTCCTTCCTTCCTTCCTTCCTTCCTTCCTGTGGTACTGGGCTTTGAACTCAGGGTCTTGAGCTTGCTAAGCAAATACTCTACCACTTGAAGGATGCCCTCCACTCCTTTTTGCTTTAAAATTTTAAGATAGTCTTCCTCTTGCTCTTTTTTGCCTTGGGGCTAGCCTTGGATTGTAATCCTCCCACTTGTGCCTCCAGTGTACTTTAGATTACAGGCATACATTGACCACACCCAGCTTGTTTGTTAGGAGGGATCTTGCTAACTTTTTGCGCAGGCTGGCAGGTGAGAGTCACCTTGCTGGGCTAAGTTTGACTTTGTTAGATTCTATACACAAGTGAGATCATGCAGTAACTGTCTTTCTATACCTAGTTTATTTCACTTGGTGTAATATCCTCCATGTTTGTCCATGTGCTACAATGGTAGAAGTTTCTTCATTTTAAAAGTTGACTGGAACTTACTCCTTCTATCTGTATTGTGCTACTTATTGTGCATTCTCGTTCTGTTCCCTCTCACCCTACTCTGGGAAGGCCCAGCCTCTGATGACCTCTGTTCTCTCTACTTTTATTAGGTCACCATTTTTACATGAGAGAGAACATGTGGCATTTCTCTTTCTATGCCTGGTTCATTTCACTTAACATAAAATGTCATTCAGTTCCATGCATGTTGCTGAAAATGATAGGATTTTAACATTTTTTATGGCTCAATAATATTCCAGTGTGTCTTTACACCACATTTTACTTATGCATTCAACCATCAGTGGACACCTAGGTTGATTCCATATCTTGGATATCCTGAATTGTGCTGCAATAAATAGCTGTCTCTTCAATTTGCTGACTACAGTTCAAACCTCAGTGTTGCAAAAAAAAAATAATGCTGACTTCCTGTTCTTTGAGTGTATTTCCAGTAGTAGATGATTTGGTAGTTCTGTTTTCAGTTTTTGAAGAAACTTCATATTATTTTCCGTAATGACTTCATTCATTTACATCCCTACCAACAGTGGATATTGTTCCTCTTTCTCTACGTCCTCCCCACCCAGCCTTTGTCACTTTTTGTCCTTTAGATATCAGCTATTGTAACCAGGCAAGAAGATATCTCACTGTGGTTTTAATTTGCATTTCCCTGCTGACTAGGGTTGAAATTTTTTCATATGCTTGTAATCCATTTGTATATCTTCTTTTGATAAATGTCCAGCCAGATCACTTGCCCATTTAAAATTATTATTAGTATTATGCTGTTAAGTTCCTTAGATATATTGAATACTAAACACTTGTAATGAATGGTTTGCATGCTTCCTCTTATTTTCCAGGTTGTCTCTTCACTCAATTGCTTCCTTTTTTTTTGTGCAGAAGGTTTTAATTTGATATAATCTCATTTGTCCACTTTTGTTTACATTGCCTGTTATTTTGGAGTCCTACCTAAAAAATTTTTGTTCATACCAAGGTCCTGAAATGTCTCCCTTATATTTTCTTCCAGTAATTTCATTGGTTCAGGTATTACATTCACACATTGTGTGAAGCCAAGCAGTCATGCCTTGTTTCTGATCTTAGTGGTAAATCTTTCAGCTTTACCACTAAGTTGATTATGAGGCTTGCTGTGGGCTGCATATATGATCTTTATTATGTTGAGGTGCATCCCTTTGTGTGTATTTTTTATCATGAAGGAATGCTGCATTTTGCCAAAGGTGGTTTCTGTGTCTATTGAGACGACTGTGTGTGTGTTCTTAGTCCTCCACTCTGTGAATGTGATGGATCACACTTATTGATTAGCATGCGTCAAACCATCCTTGCATTCCATTCCTGGACTGATCATTTTAATGTGCTGTTGATTTCGATTTGCCAGTATTTTGCTGAGAATTTTTGCATTTATATTCATCAGGGATATTGGCCTGTGATTTTATTTTTTTCTAGAGTTTCTTCTTTTTGTATCAGGATAATGCCAGCTTCATCAAATGAGTTTATAATTTCCTCCTCTTCATTTTATTTGGATGAGTTGAGAAGGATTGGCATTAATTCTTCTTTAAATGTTTGGTAGAATTCACCTGTGAATCCATCAAGTCTTTGGCTTTTATTTTTTGAGATGTTTGATAATTTACTTGATCTTTTCACTTGTTATTAGTCTGTTAAAATTTTCTTTTTTTTAATTTAATTTTTTAGGTCATATGTGTCTAGGAATTTATACATTTCTTCTAGGTTATCTACTAGTAGTCTCTTATGTCCTTTGTATTTTTGTTGTATCAATTGGAATGCCTGTGCTTTCCTGTCTGATTTTATTTACTTGAATCTCTTTTCTTTTTTCTTAGTCTAGTTAAAGGTTTGTCAGTCTTTTCAAAACAAGACTCTTAATTTCATTGATCTTTCTATTTCCCTAGTCTTAGATTTATTTCTGCTCTGATCTTTATTGCTCTCTTTCTTGTGCTGACTTTGGGCTTAGTTTTCTCTTTTTATAGTTTTTTTTGGAGGTGTAAATTAAATCGTTTGAGTTCTTGCTTAATGGAGGTATTTATAAACTTCCCTCTTAGAATTATATTTTAGTATACTGTGTTTTTATTTTTTTCTCAAAATATTTTTTATTTCACTTTTGGTTTTTTCTTTTCTAGCTTTTTACTGATGTTGATTTCTAAGTTCATACCATTGTAGTGGGAAAGTATACTTGATGTGATAACAAACTTCTGGAGTTTCTTAAAACTTGTTTTGTAGCCCAACATATGCTCTCTCCTGGGGGGTGCTCATGTGTGCTTGAAAAGAATGCATATTCTGCTGCTGGTCTGAATATGTCTGTGGTGTTGTTCAAGACCACAGTTTCCTTCTTGATTTTTGTCAGATCTATCCATGATTGAAAGTAGATATTGAAATCCCCTACTCTTATGTATTGTTAAACATTCCTCTTTTCATTTCTGTTAACGTTTGCTTTGTGTGTTTAGGTGCTTTGCTGTATCTACATCCTGTGGGTAAATTGCCTTCTTTATCTTTATATAATGATCTTGTCTCTTGTGGCAGTCTTTACATAAAGTCCATCACGTCTGATACAAGTAGATATCCCTTCTCTCTTTTGGTTGTCATTTTCATGGAGTACCTTTTAAAAATCCCTTTACTTTCAGCCTATGAACTTATTATATTCATAATTCTAATCAGAGTCTCTTTTAGGTAGCATAGTTGAGTTTTAAAAGTCCAATCATTCCATGTGTTTTGAATGAAAAAATGTAATTCATTTACATTTAATGTAATTATGATCAGTAAGGACTTACTATTGCCATTTCATTAATTGTTTTGTGTTTTTCTGTTGCTCTATTCCATTCATCCTCTTGTTTTCCTTTGTTTTGGTGATTTTTTTGTAGTCATATCTTTTAATTTCTTCCTCTCTTGTGTTTTTACTACAAATTTTTCTTTGTGTGTACCATAAGCTTTACATAAAACATCTTAAAAAGCACCCTATTTAAAATGATTATAATTTCAACCACATAAAAAATCCTACACTTTAACTTCTTCTCCTTCCACATTTTATGTTGTTAATGTCACAGTTTATCAGTTGATGTTCAATAAAGATGCAATGGTGATTTAATGGACAGCCCTGTCGGACAGGTGGGCACCCACAACCAAAAGTAAACTTCTACCTTATCTCACACCACAGAAAAACTGCTTCAAAATAAGTAATTTCTTATAAGGTTTAACGTTCACCAGCAGCCCTATTCTTTAGCATTTACTTAAGAGAAATGAAAACAGATGTTCATATGAAAGTCTGTATGCAAATATTTGTAGTGACTGTACTATTTTTTCACCCCAAACCAGAAAAAATCCAAATGTCCTTCCACTACAGAATGGGTAAACTGATACACCTATACAAAGAAGTACTAATTAGCAATAAAAAGGAGTAGATTACTAACATACACAACAACATGGATAGATCCTGACTGTACTATTCTAGGTGAAAGAAGCCATGCTGTATATTCCCATTCATATAACACACTGAAAAGGCAAAACCACAGGGGCAGAAAGCAGGTCAGTGGTGGCCAGGGATTGGTAGCTGTGAGGTGAGGTTCACTATCATGTGCTTCAGGGAATATTTTGGGGATGATGAAAACTTTCTAAGTCTTGACTGTGGTGGTGGCTTTATGACTTAATGTGGTTGTCAAAATTCTAAAACTGTATGCTAAAAAGACTGAATTTTATTGTTTGTAAAATTTACCTCAGTACACCTGGCCTAAAAACAATCAAAATCCTATTGACTTTAGGATGAAACTTAAAACCCTTTATTGGGTCATCAGCAAATCCTCTCTCAATGGTGTGTGTGATAGAGTTCTTGTCATGAATCATGGCTAGAAGTCCTCTGCTCTTTTCCTTCCTAGGAATTACCCAGTTTGAAATTGCTATCTATCTATCTATCTATCTATCTATCATCTATCTATATATTTATCTATCATCTATCTCCCTGTTTATCCATTTATTGATTCCCTCCATGCTGCTGCACTGAGTGTCCAGGAAGGCACTGTGTCTCTACTACCCAGCTTTGTATTCAGCAAAGAGCAAACTCTTGTTTGCTGAATGAATGAATAAATGGATGGATGGATGAGTGCATGGAGGACCCTGTGGATGAGTGCTATATATTGACACTGTGCATATTTTAAACAATCTTTTCACTGGTAGGTAACATTATTTTCCAGTATCACACAAACCCTCTCCTGGGTAGCAAGCATGTTGGTTCCTTACAAGTCAGACTGTCAATTTTGCCTTTTATCCTTCTTTCCCTACAAAGACTTCCAACATATTGAAAAGGTATCCTGTCTGCTCTTCTACACTTATTTTTGGTGTTACTAGGGTTGGAACTCAAGGCCTTGTGCTTGTTAGGCAGGCACTCTACCACTTGAGACATGCTCCCAACCCTGTTTGCTTTAGTTATTTTGTTTAATAGGGTACCACTTTTATGACAAGGCCATTCTGGACCACACAGTTAGGATGACAGGCATATGCTACAATGCCCAGCTTTTTATTGGTTGAGATGGGGTCTTGTGAACTCTTTGCCCAGGCTGGTCTCAAACCACAATCCTCCCGATCTTTGCCTCCTGAGTAGGTAGGATTATAGATGCGAGCCACGGCACCCAGCTTCTTCTAGACTTTTCTATCCTAACATTTTATTCTAGGCTTTTCAAGCCCAACTTCTGTGCTGCCTTAATAATCTCCCTACAATGTCATTTGGGGTAGATTCAAACCCACTGCCATGAATTCTGTAATATGTTTCTCCAGCTGGCAGGACGTTCAGATAATTTATTGGACTGGGGGTGAAGCTCAGAGGTAGAGTGCATGACTAGCATGTGTGAGGGCCTGGGTTTCATTCCCAGGTCCCTCTCCCCAAAATTTATCAGGAATCAATCTCTCCAAAAGACTTTTCCCAGCAGGCATGGTTTTTCTTCACAGAGAGAAGACCCCCACACATACCCTGCTTTAGGTGGAAAGACGTATGTAATCCTGGCTGTGTCTCTTTCAGATTGGCTCCTACTTCGGGGCTGCCCTCTGCTCCGTGGACGTGGACAGTGATGGCAGCACTGATGTGGTCCTCATTGGGTCCCCCCATTACTATGAGCAGACCCGAGGGGGCCAGGTGTCTGTGTGCCCCATGCCTAAGGGGGTGAGTGGTGGCTGGGACCTGGGCTAGGTGGGGACTGGGTGTGGGGTAAGGGGTCTTGGGCTCAGATCTGTCACTGCTTTTTGTTTGGCAGAGGGCTCAGTGGCGGTGTGAGACTGTCCTCCGTGGGGAACATGGTCATCCCTGGGGCCGCTTTGGGACAGCTTTGACAGTGTTGGGGGATGTGAATGGGGACAAACTGACAGATGTGGCCATTGGGGCCCCAGGAGAGCAGGAGAACCGGGGTGCTGTCTACCTTTTTCATGGATCCTCACCAGTGAGCATCAGCTCCTCCTACAGCCAGGTAAGGCCCCGTCATTGTCCTCATCACAACAGTAATGCTTTGCTGACCTGTCCGCTCAAATTCATCAGCTACTCCTTTCAGAAACTTCAAAAATAACAACGCACCCTTCACAGGCATTGCAAAGCATCCCAACTAGGTTGTCTCTCTCTGTGACAGTGGGAAACGCTTGGGAGCCTTGTCACTTCCGCTTCACAGAGGACACCTAAGCCCAGAGATAGCAAATGGGAAACTGGAGGTGCTGAGCTGTTGCCATATTTCTTCTCTTAAATCTCAGCCTGGGAAGGTGACTTAGAGTCCCGGTTTCCCCAGATCTAGTCCACTTTTGGCACTGGAAGTCCCACAGCACAGAAATCCCATGTGGTTGGACACCTTATAGGTTTGTACTGTGTCCCCAGCTTCTCTCAGGAGGACCCTGTGTTTGCCTTGATAACTCTGCTTTTGTCATGTTGAAATTCTTAATTTTTGAACAAGAGGATCCCACATTTTTCTTTTGCTGGATCTTGCAAATTAAGCAGCCCATAGATGACTGGCCACCCTAAAGCCTGCCCCTATAACTGGTTTTCTTTCTAAGATGGTGCTGTTTCCTGCCAGATGGAGTTCACTGTCTGGAGGGACCCACACCTTCTTGTCTCACTTCCCTCAGGCCATAGTCTCTCCGCCTACAGCCAGCTGCATCCATTGGGTCTTCTGGCCTCTGCTCACTGGTTCTTTTTTTTCTTTTTTTATTTTATTCATATGTGCATACAATGTTTGGGTCATTTCTCCCCCTTTCCCCTCACCGCCTCCCTTACCCCCCTGCCCACTCCCTCTCCCCCTCATCCCCTCGATACCTGGCAGAAACTATTTTGCCCTTATCTCTAATTTTGTTGAAGAGAGAGTATAAGCAATAATAGGAAGGACCAAGGGTTTTTGCTAGTTGAGATAAGGATAGCTATACAGGGAGTTGACTTGCATTGATTTCCTGTGTGTGTGTGTTACCTTCTAAATTAATTCTTCTTGATCTAACCTTTTCTGTAGTTCCTGGTCCCTTTCTCCTATTGGCCTCAGTTGCTTTAAGGTATCTGCTTTAGTTTCTCTGCGTTGAGGGCAACAAATGCTATCTAGTTTTTTGGGTGTCTTAACTATCCTCATACCTCCCTTGTGTACTCTCACTTTATCATGTGCTCAAAGTCCAATCCCCTTGTGTTTGCCCTTGATCTAATGTCCGCATGTGAGTGGGAACATACGATTTTTGGTCTTTTGGGCCAGGCTAACCTCACTCAGAATGATGTTCTCCAGTTCCATCCATTTACCTGTGAATGATAACATTTCGTTCTTCTTCATGGCTGCATAAAATTCCATTGTGTATACATACCACATTTTCTTAATCTATTCGTCAGTAGTGGGGCATCTTGGCTGTTTCCATAACTTGGCTATTGTGAATAGTGCTGCAATAAACATGGGTGTGCAGGTGCCTCTGGAGTAACCTGTGTCACATTCTTTTGGGTATATTCCCAGGAGTGGTATTGCTGTATCATATGGTAGGTCAATGTTTAAATTTTTAAGAAGCCTCCAAATTTTTTTTCCAGAGTGGCTGTGCTCTCTGGTTCTTTTCCAGTTTCACATTTTCTTTTCTTTCTTTAAAATTTTTTTATTGTGTTAAGAACACTTAATATGAGATCTATCTTCTTAACATATTTTTTTTTCAGCACTGGGGTTTGAAGTCAGGACCTCATGCTTGCTAGGGGGGGCATTCTTACTGCTTGAGTCACTCCTCCAGCCCTAACAGATTTTAAATGTACCATGCAGTGTGGTTATCTGTTGGTACCATCCATGCTGTACAGCTTATTCATCTGTCACAACTGGAATTTTATACCCAGTGATTAGAACTTCTCCATTTCTCCCAACCCCCAACCCCTACAACCACCATTCCATTCTTTGCTTCCCTCTAGGAAGCATTTGTTACAAATGTCATTTGTTATGAATGCCAAAATTTCTGAATTCAGGGCTTCATGCTTGCTAGGCAGGCGCTCTACCACTTGAGTCATGACCAACCAGAATTTCTTTCTTTTTAAAGGCTGAATTATATTCCACTGTATGTAAATACCACTTTTCTTTTCTTTTCTTTTTTTTTCCTTGGTAATTCATCACCTGCCAATAGGCAGTTAGGTTGTTCCACTTCTTGGCTACTGTGAATAGTGTTGCAATGAGCATGGATATGCCAATACGTCCTGGAGATTCTGATTTCAATTCTTTTGGATAGATATCCAGAAGTGAGTTAGCAAATATTTTCTCCCACTTACCATTACCATTTCACTCTACTGATTGTTTCCTTTGCTGTGTAGTTTTTTTAGTTTAATGCAGTCCCATTTGGTTCTTTTTTTGTTTTTATTGCCTGTGCTTTTGTTGCTGTAACTATGAACTGCTTGGATCAATGTCAAGAACATTCCCTCCTGTTTTCAAACAGGGGTTTTACATTCTTAGATCTTAGGTTTGTCTTTAACACATTTTGAGTGGATTTTTGTGTTTGGTACTAGATAAGGGTCACTTGCATTCTTTTGTGTGTAGATACCCAGTTTTCCTGACACCATTTTAGGTATAGAGTGAAACACCTCTATACAGTGAAGGCCATTTATGGCAAATCCATAGCTAACATCATTCAGAGTGGTGAGAAGTTGTTTCCTCTGAGATGAGGAACAAGAACTGGTAGCACTCACCACTTCCTTTCAACACAGTACTGCGTGTCCTAGCCAGAGCAATTAGTTAAGAGAAAGAAATAAAAGGCATTCTAATACAAAAGAAAAAAGTGAAATTATCTCTACTTGCTGACAACATGATCTTAGAAAATTTTAAAGACTCAATGCCCCCTCCCCAAAAAAACTGTTAGAACTGAGAAATAAATTCTGTAAAGTTTCAGGATACAAAATCAATGTGTAAAAACCAATAGCAAGCCATGGTGTTCACACTTGTAATCCCAGTACAGGCATGATACAGGAGGCAAATGCAGGAGGATCAAGAGTTCAAGGCCAGCTTGGGCTAATAGAGAGATCACATCTCAAAAAAAAAAAAAAAAGAAAAAAAGGAAATTAAGAAAATAATCTCATTTACAGTAGCAACAAAAAAATTAAATACTTGTGTGTAAATTTAAGGAAATGCTCATGAAAGAAACTGGAGAAAAGACAAATAAATAGGAATACATCTGGTGTTCACAGATTAAAATAATTAATTTATGAACCTTTTCATACCATTTAAAGTGATCTACAGATCCAGTGCAATCCCTATCAAAGTTCCCATGTCATCTTTCACATATTTATTGAAAATAAATAGCCAAATCAATTTTGAGAAAGGAGAAGCTTCTTGATTTAAGTATATATTTAAATAACAACAATAACAACAACAAAAGACTCCAAACAACAGATGTACCCAGCCAGGTAAGGTAACTGCAACTTTACTGATCAGTGGTCATGGAGCACAGCCAGCAGCCCCACCTGATGACACAATACAGTGTAGGGTCTCCATAGACCCCAGCACAGCCTGTAGAACCATCTGACCTCAGAGCACAGGCAGCAGTCCAATTCAGCAGAAAACCTAACACCAAAGCCTGCCTGTGTGAGGTCACCACCAGCCAGACCATCCAGAAGTTCAGACCAGACCAAATAGCAACAGGCTTAAAGGGCTGAAAGAGGTGCCCCCCACCCCAGTGGTATTGGGGCTTGAACTCAAGGTCTTGACCTTGCTGGCAGTCCCTCTACTAATTGAGGCATGCTCCCAGTCTTTTTTTTGCTTTAGTTATTTTTCAGATAAGGTCTTGCATTTTTCCCCAGGCTAGTCTGGACTATGATTACCCTACTTACACCTCCGTGTTGCTGGGATTGCAGGCACACACCAACAAGCCTAGTTTTTTGTTTCGATGATAGTCTCACTAACTTGTTGCTTGGGCTTGCCTCAAACCACAATGCTCCTGATATACCCTTTCCAAGAAGTGGGATTACTAATTCTTTTCAAAGTTTCCAAAAAAAAAAAAAATCAAAGTAGAGAGGATACTCCCAAACTTATTTTACAAGGCCAGCATTATCCTGACTCCAAAGCCAGACGAGGAAGCACTACAAGAAAAGTTAATATCCCTGATGAAAATACGTGCAAAAATCCTCAACAAAATATTAGCAAACTGAATTCAAGAACACATTAAAAGAATCACAAACTATGATCAAGTAAGATTAATCCCTAGGATACAAAGATGAGTCAACATATACAGGTCAGTGAATGTGATCCAATAGATTAGTAAAATACTGGACAAAATCGTATGATTTTTTTCCATAGATGCGGAAAAGGCTTTTGAAAAATTCAACACCCTTTCATGACAATATGCTTCTTTTCCTTGGGGCCTGTTTCTTCTCTATGTAAATGCGGTTTAAAGGCTTTGGTTTTTATTTTAGTTTCATTTACAAAAACTTTGCTTACTTGTCATGCAAAGTTTTATGCCTAAATGAACAGCGAAAGGCCTCATTCCCTCCACCACCACTCATCCTCCAAAGGAAAAGACAGCTAAGGGAAAGGCTCTTTGTATGTGTGCACACACAGACTTTGGGATTAAAAACAAATAAAGGCTCATGCTATTTTGTTATTCTGCCGTTTATACTTTTTACTTCCTTTTTTTTCCATGGCTGAAACTGGAAGTGGTGAGTATTTGGACAAGTAAACACACTGTACGTCTCCCAACTACCACATTACTCTTTCAAAACAAAACTTCCTCTCAACAGAATAACATAAATTTTCAAAAAAATTGAGGGGCTGGGAATGTGTCTCAGTGCTTGCCTTTTTGAGGCCCTGTGTTGGATCCCCAGGACTGAGAAGAAACTGAGGTATAGTTTATGGAATATACTACTCAAAACTTTCTTTTTTATTTTTTTGCAGTACTGGGATTTGAACTCAGGGTGTTACTTGGTAGACAGGAGCTCTACCATGTGAGCTATGCCCCATTCCTTTTTGCTCTGGTTATTTTGGAGATAAGGTCTCTCTTTTTGTTCAAGCTGGCCTGGACTTCAGTCCTCCTATTTATGCATACTGCTGTCACTGGGATGATGGATGTGCCATATCCAGCTTTTTTTCATTGGGATGGGGTCTTGCTCACTGTTTGACCAGGCTGGCCTTGAACCACGATCCTCCCAATCTCAGTCTCCCAAGTAACTTGGATTGCAGGCAGGAGCCACAAGTGCCCAGCTTAACACACAATGATGAATTTTTATGTATGTAAACCCAAGATACCAAACACTTGGAACGTTTTGCATCTCACATTTCCTCATGTTCCACCCAGTTGACAAAACCACTTAAATTTTTTTTTACATGTGGTCCTGGGGGTTTAACCAGAGTCTTGTATATGGTAAGTACGTGCTCTACCATGGAGCAAAAATCGGCCCCACCAAAATCACTAAAAAAGAGTGTAAAATACACATATGAAATTTACTATGTTTACCAGATTTTAGTGTACAATTCACTGGCATTAAGCATATGACAAAATTACTTTAATCTTTTTAAAAAATAGTACTTGATCATATTTTTTTCAGTATTATTCTTGCACATACTTAGAAAGGTTAAAATAGGCCTATGAAGCTTGTCATGAAAAATAATTTCCACTCACTACTTCTGCTTCATTTCCCCTTTTTCAAGGACACCACTTTCAGCTTTTTCAATTATTCTCCATCTGTCCAAATAATGTGATTATTTTCCTATCTTCTTTAAAAATTTAAATTAATTGATGATATTCATACATATTTATAGGTTGTGATATCATAATTTGATACACACATGCAATGCATAATGATAAACTCAGGGTAATTACCATTTCCATCCCCTCAAATAGTTATCATTTCTATGTGTTAGGAACTTCAGACTCTTGTGGTTATTTTGAAATATATTACAAATATATTATATATATATTTGAAATATATTTTTGTAGACTGCAGTTACCCTACTGAGACTCATTCCTGTCTAACTTCTTTGATACTCACTGTCTAATTTCTCTGCACCCCTTCCTTCCTTTCTCGGTTTCTAGTGACTACTATTCCTCTCTCTTCTATGCAATTGATTCTTTTTAGCTTCAACAAATGAGTGAGAGTAAGAAGAATTTGTCTTTCTGTGCCTGGCTTATTTTACTTAGCATGATATCCTTCACTTCCATCCACATTGCCACAAATGACAGGATTTCATTCTTTCTTATGGCTTAATACTATTTCTTTGTATATATGTGCATCAATTAAAATGAACAAATGACTCGAGTAGACATTTTTCAAAATCAAAGAAACACCTGTCCTATAAGTATATGAAAAATATTAAATATCACTAATAACCAGGTAAATGTGAATGAAAACCACAGTAAGATATTTCACCCCAGTTAAAATGGCTATAATCAGAAAGATTAAAAAAAGAAAAAGAAGAAGTGCTGGTGAGGCTATGAAGAAAAGGAAGTCTCATCCATTGTTGGAGGGAGTGTAAATCAGGACACCTACCATGGAAAACTGCAGGGAGCGTCCTCAGGAAGTTAGATGAATTACCAGAAGATCCAGAGATCTCACTGCTGTAATACCCAAAGGAAAGAAAATCATATCAAAGAGCCCCCAGCACTAAGCACATCCATGTTAGTTGTAATACTATATGGATAAATGGATATAGAAATTTTTGCTACTCAATTTTTGTTAGCATTGACTTCCGGCCATCAAGGATGAAGTTTGTGGTCTCTTTTAGTCTCCCTCTTGCCACACACTAACACTCTCTCTACTCTCCCACCCACTTCTCATAGTTATGTGATAATTTTGGTTAGATCAATATTGAATGCTTGCATTAGTCTAACCATATAAATGAGATTCAGCTGGGCTAAACAATGTACTTTCACTTCTTTCCTGTAAAACATTTTGTTTTCTTTAGAAAACTGAGGTAATGGAAATTTTGGGTATCAACTTGAGGTTGTGGTTTAAAGGTGATTAATTCTGTATAAAGTTCTAAGTTGCCCTAATTCCTTGGAAGTTGGAGGAAATAAGACTCAGATGGAGTCCCAAGAACCTCTGCTTGCGTTGTCATCTGTCATCAGGGGTGATTAAGTTACACACTTCCCTGTTCTTTTCTCTTCCCTTTCTCTCCTCCTCTTTTTAACCCTTAGTGGTCTCTTCCCTTTCTCTCCTTCTCTTTTTAACCCTTAGCGGATCACAGGCTCCCAGCTGTCCCCCAAGCTCCAGTATTTTGGTCAGTCACTGAGCGGGGGCCAGGACCTCACAATGGATGGGCTAATGGACCTGGCTGTAGGAGCTCAGGGACACATACTGCTGCTCAGGTGAGAATTCCTTTTGGAACACACCAGGTATTTTCCCTTGAACAAGCTTCTTTGCTGTCTAATGTTTTCTGATGGCCCTGTGGTGTCCCTGTAGGGCCCAGCCCATACTTAGAGTTGAGGCAAACATGGAGTTCAGCCCCAGGGAAGTAGCAAGGAATGTATTTGAGTGTCATGAACAGATGGTGAGAAGCAAGGCTGCTGGGAATGTCACTGTCTGCCTCCGTGTCCGCAAGAGCACTCGGGATCGGTTAAGAGAAGGTGAGGCTTGGTGGGTAAGTCTTTATGTGAAGTGTCTGAGCACTGATGGGCAGCTCTGCTCAAAGTGCCCAGCCTTCTGACAGTCCAGAGAAAAGTGCTGACAGCTTTCTCCACACTTGGCTGGAGTGAGCAGGCCACTCCCATGATGGGTGGGGAAACCCAGCAAACCTCACCAAAGAAGTAACCAGGTGGCACATCCTTGTTCAGTTCTTCAGAGAACCAAGGCCCCATATCTTTGAAAAAACTAGATTCATTTTTCAAAATGTAACAGCTTATTTGGTGAGGTCAAGTTGATGAACCTAACTAAAGACAAATTCATAAAGGATTTAGCTATGCATGTTATCACCAACAACCTGACTCCTTCCTTGCCATGGGGAATAGTAATGGTAGTACTCGAAAGACTCAGGAGGAAGAGAAAAGAAAATTCTGTTCTAGCAGCAGTCTCCCGGGGCCGAAGAGATGGCAGAAGCTGGGGCAGCCAACATGCCTAGAAATTGAGAGAAAAGTTTTGGAGAGTGGGGGAATTGTAGAGAAGGTGTCCTTGGGATCCACATCGAGTTTCCTCTCAGGTTATTTCTGACTAAGCCGTGAATACCCAGTTGATAATTCCAGGCAATCCAGTAGAAACTGGCAATCCAGTAGAGCTGGGCAGAGAACAAACAGCTCCCAAAGTGCTTGGTAAACACTTGGTCTTTCCATTAAAACAATTGTCCAGAAACCAACAGAAACAACAGAGAATAGAATTACACCCATGGGTGATTTCAGAAATTAGTGTGTTAGTCTAGGAATAAAATACATTCAAGAACAAAAGGGAAGGATGGAGAATGTCAGAAAAAACTTGGAATTCATAAAATAGAGCCAAACTGAGATTCCAGCACTGAAAAATACAATGACTAAAATTAAGAATTCAGTATATTGAATTGTGATTTAGAAGCAGAACAGAGAATTGGTGTCTGGAAGATAAGCTAATTGAAATGATCCAGATTAATAAAAACAGAGAAAAAAGGATGAAGAACATGACATAATCATGAGTCATATGGAGTAATGGAATATGATGAAAGATTTAAAAACTGGAATTCTAGAGAGGGAGAAAGAGAGAGAGAGAGCAATAAATAGTGGCTACAAATTTTTTAAAACTCTTGAAAGACATCAAGATTCTTTACAACATCAAAGCAAGTTAAGTATAAAGGTAACCATAACAAAATACATTATAATCAAATTGCTGAATAACCAAGAGAAAAAAATTAAAAGCATTCAGAAAAATATGATTAATTTCTCAGAGTGTAATAAAATAGCTACCATTTTTTGAGTGCTTACTTTAGGGGCACTATTTCATTTCATTTTAGCTATTGGAAAGGTACAATTATTAATCCTTATTTTGAAAATAAAGAATTGAGACTCAGAGAGGTCAGAGAACATGCCCCAAATCATACAGCTGGGGAGCAGAGGCTGGGCCTGGAACTCCTGCCTGACTCCAAAGGCCAGGTACCTCACCACCAGGTGCCATGTCCCTTCAGGAGATATCCAGAGCACTGTCACTTATGACCTGACTTTGGACTTCGGCCGGTCCCTTGCCCGTGCCATCTTTGAGGAGATGAAGAACAACACACGCAGACAAACACAGACCTTGGGGCTGACATGGAAATGCGAGACCCTGAATGTATGGTTACCGGTGAGCAGGCAAATGGCCAGATTCCTGGACCAAGAATGGGTGGGAAGCCAAAGAAGACAGGTTCCCAACCCCCATTATCTCTCAGGATTGCGTGGAGGACTCAGTGAGCCCCATTGTCCTGCTCCTCAACTACACTCTGATGGGGAAGTCCTTGTCCTCTTTTGGGGGCCTTCGTCCAGTTCTGGCTGAGGGTGCTCAGAGAGTCTTCACAGCCTCGGTGAGTCCTGGAGTTGGGGTCCTACAGGAGCATGGAAAAGACCAGATATGAAGATTATTGAAGCTTGTTTTATTTCCCATAATTTTATTTCAACATTTTAATGGGTCATTATTTCCTTTCCTTTCCCTTCATCATATCCTGATTTTAGTTTCCCTTTGAAAAGAACTGTGGCAATGACAGCGTTTGTCAGGACGACCTTAGCATCAAATTCAGTTTTATGGGGTGAGTTTCTTTTCCTCCTTGCCTCCTTCAAGCTGGTCCTGCCATGTGCTGCTCTGTTCTTCTCCTGATCCCCAAAAGAATCACACAGACCAGCTTCTTGTGGGGGGGATTGTGTGCCACAAGGTCCCTGTGGCTGCTCCATCTGCTGCCATCTCTCGCCAAGTGTCCTCCTCCCTTTGCACCAAATATACTTGCCACAGGGAAGCCCTTGGCATCCCATGGCTGGTCTTGTTGCTCCTACAGCCTGGATACCTTGGTGGTGGGTGATCCCCATGGCTTCAATGTGACACTAACTGTGAGAAACGAGGGTGAGGACTCCTATAGGACGCAGGTTACCTTCTACTACCCATCTGGCTTGTCCTACCGGAAGGTGTTGAAAGCCCAGGTAGCCAAACCTTCTCAGGCTCCATCTGACCTTTGCTTTCTCCATCTCCATGGCTGGTGGCTGATGGTGCCACTTCTGCTTCTCTTGCCTTCCAGAACAAGCTATCACAGAGGTCCTGGCGCCTGGGCTGTGACTCTGGCTCCTCCACCGAAGGACGTGGGGCTTTGAAGACCACCACCTGTGCTATAAACCACCCCATCTTCCCTGGCAACTCAGAGGTCAGAGTCACCAGTGCCTCTACTCCCTTGCTCCTTCCTGAATTTTCTTCCTCCTCCTCCTCCTCCCCCTTCTCTTCTTCCTCTCTTCCTTTTCTCCTCTTCTTCATCCTCCTTGCCCTCCTTTCTTCTTCAAAGTAGAGGCTCCTTCTTACAAAACAGCTTTATTGAGATATAATGCATATCTTGCAGACTTGCCCATTTGGTGGCTTTTAACACACTCACAGAAACAGAGTTGTGCATACCTCATCTTGACAAATTTTAGAGACCTTGCTAATCATTTCCCCTTCCCACCATTCCCCACTAATCTACGTTGTCTTTGTATACTTGCCTATCCTGAATATTTCCTGTGAATGGAAATACATACAGTATGTGGTCATTTGTCACTGGCCTCTTTCAATTAGCATATTTTTTTCAAGGATCATTCACCTATTGATACTTCATTTTTTTTATCATTGAATAACATGCTGTTGTATGGACTGATCAGTTTTATCCTTCATTGGTTGATGAACATTTGTTCATTAGTCTCTTACTCTTATTACTTTCTCACCCTTCTTCAATTCCAGGTCACCTTCAATGTCACATTTGATGTGGACTCTGATGCTTCCCTTGGAAATAAATTACTTCTCAAGGCCAACGTGACCAGGTGCCTTGCTCTTGACCTTCCATAAGCGTCCTCCCTTTTGAAGTCTCCACCCTGTGTCTAGGGTAGACCTTTTCTCTCTCCCTACTGGTTCTCCATTCAGATCATTCATTCATTCATTCAACAAACACTGACTGAACACCTGTCATGTGCCAGGCATTGTGCCAAGTGCTGGTGGGACACTGGTGGATAAAATGGATGGTTTCTGCCTTCACAGAGGTTATAATTTAGTGGCACAGATAGACCAGGAAAATGGCTATTATAACATGGTATGAAATTAATGTTTACATGGGGGGGTATGCCCAGTGTTCTTGGGAGCTTGGTGTTCAAAGAATCCTGAGGAAAACATATGTAGCCTGTGAGTCAGCCAAGCAAAAGCATGAACAGAGGGTAGGCATGAAGATAGAAAGAAGGAAGTATATGTCAGGCAAAACTTAGAGCCTAGAAAGATTAGTGTGTGTTTAAGATTGGCCTAACTGCTGGGCATGGTGGTGCATGCCTGTAATCCCAGTTACTAAGGAGGCAGAGGCAGGAGGATGGCCAGTTTGAGGCCAACCTTTTCTCAGAAACAAAAAGGGCTGGAGGTATGGTTAAGGGGTAAAGAGCTTGCCTATCAAATGCAATGCCCTGAGTTCAAACTCCAGTACTTCCATCTCCCCCCAAAAAAGACTAAGCACATGAGGCAGGATTTAAGGAATTGAGGGTGCTTAGATGTGAGCTACATCACAAAATGACAAGTGAGTGGCATTAAAAAATTTGCAGTTTAGCCTCTGGGAGGGGTGGGGAGCAATTTTGAATTCAGATGACCAGTTAGAAGGCTTCCATAGCCACTAGAGTGAGCAGAGTTTGTAGCAGAGGAGTTTAATGAGTAGAGGGATTTAGGCTGTGGAGACAATGGGACTTGGTGACTGGTGGAAGTGGGGTGAAGGAAAGGGAGAACAAAAGGCTAAGCTCCTCTCTTCCTTCAGTGAGAACAACATGCCCAGGACCAAAAAATCTGAATACCAGCTGGAGCTGCCTGTGAAATATGCTGTCTTCATGGTGGTCACCAGGTGCTGGCCTCTAAGGCCTTGGCTGAGCCTTTCACATGGGCTGGACACAGCCATTTGTGTGTCTGTGCTTGTGAGTCCGCTTGTGTATGTGCACACATGTAAGGATCTCTGTATAAGGATCCTGTGTGTGTGAGAATCTCTGTGTGTCTGTGCATTTGTGTATGTGTCGTGTGCATCTGTGTGAGTGGCCTAAACTCATACACTGTGTGTCCAATAAACATAGCCCCTGTGTTCCCCTCCCCCACTCCCTGGGCTTCATTACCCATGTGCCTGTTCCCTCCTGTGCGCTTAGACTCTGCCCATGACACCCCTTATGTTCTGCCACTTTCTGTCTCCTCTTTCTTCCGTTAGTGGTGAGAACTCTACCAAATATCTTAACTTCACGGCCTCAGAGAAGACCAGCCATGTCATACAGCATCAATATCAGGTGGAGATCGGGGGACATGTGGCTACTGAGAGGATGCTGGGGAGGGAAATTGATGTGAAGTGAATGCAGACTCAATCATAGGAAGTATGCCTAAGGTGCTTCTATGTGCCAGGCCCAGCTCCAAGCTTGCTCTCACTCTGTGCACACACAGTGTGTGTGTGTGTGTATGTGTGTGTGCAACACTCACACACATAAGGAACTCATCTCACTTCTGGAAGGACTCTGTGAGGCCCAATTGTCATCCCTCATTGACAGATGAAGAGACTGAGGGTCAGAGAGGTTGAGGAAACTTCCATGTCCAAGTCCTCACAACAGTAGGTGGCAGAGTTGGGACTTGGGACCTGCCTGCTGGTGGGTTCCCAGACGGGGCCAGATGCGTGGGCCTTAGTCAGGTGTACGGAGCTGTGGGGAGTGAGGAGGCTGATTCCAGGAGCTGGTGGGGGACAGAGGGCCAGTGTCCTGATTACCATTCTTCACTGTTGTAGTTCACCAATCTGGGTCAGAGGAGCCTACCTGTCAGTGTGGTTTTCTGGGTACCTGTCCGGCTGAAGCAGGCAACTGTATGGGACCACCCCCAGGTCCTCTTCTCCCAGGTGAGTCCAGCTGTGTCTGAGAAGTGGGTCCAAGTCTCCCCTCCACAGCCCTGGTCTTCCTTAAGATCTCTGTCTGTGACCGGCATTGGACCTCTGAGCCTCTTCTGTCTCTCTCCTGGACCCAGGTAGGCTCACCTTGAGAACAGATCCTCTCCTCACAGTCTCTCTTTCCTCAGAACCTCTCGAGCACCTGCCACACTGAGGAGAAACCACCCCCTCACTCCAACCTCCTGGCCGAGCTTGCGAAGACGCCTGTGCTGGTGAGAAGATACCTAACTCCAGCCTCAGGGCCACACATAGATCCATCACTGTTTCCTCATTGGAGCCCAATGTGGCTTTTCACTGACAGGACTGAGCACACAGGTGTTTTCTGCTCCACTTCCCTAGTCACCTGTCTCCTCTCCTCCCTTTCCCAGAACTGCTCTGTTGCTGTCTGTCACAGAATCCAGTGTGACATCCCATCCTTCAGCATCCAGGAAGATTTCACTGTTGTCCTCAAAGGCAACCTCTCGTTTGACTGGTACATCAAGGTGTGTGGGGTCCCCGGGCTCCATCAGGCATAGACATGACACTTCAGGTCCCCAAACCTGGCTTCCTCTCTGTTTTCTAACACAGACATCTCAGAACCACCTTCTGCTAGTGAGCACAGCGGAGATCTTGTTTAACCGTTCTGCGTTTGCCCTGCTTCAGGGTCAGGGGGCATTTGTGAAGTCCCAGGTACCGTCTCAGGCACCAAGGGACTCCTGGAGGGAGGAGGGAAGCTGGTTTTGTGACATTATCTCTGAGGTGGGGGAGAGGAGTAGGCTGGGGTGGGGGACACAGGGAGGTGCTAGTCACTGGGTTTGGGGAGTGCACAGGTCCAAGTGGGGACATGTTCAGAAATCTGGAGTCTGTCTCCTGTGATGCATTTCTGTTCTCCTCTTCCTCCTCTAGACAGAGACCAAAGTAGAGCCGTATGAAGTTCACAATCCTGTACCACTCATTGTGGGCAGCTCCATCGGGGGGCTGGTGCTTCTGGCCCTCATCATTGCCGGGCTGTCCAAGGTACCCCTGGGTGGCCCTCTTCCTGCTCCTCCCATCCCCCCGACTGCTTCTCATTCAGCAGCTCCAATACTGGGCTCAACTTCATTGTGTGAAGGAAATTGGATTAACTAGAAAGGTCCCTGGTACAGAATGACCATCATAGAAGAAATGATTTTTCTTGTTACTTTTTTTATATTTTCTGGCCCCAAAGTTGATGCTATTTCTCTCCCTTCCTCACTTTCCCTAGGCCCTTTCTGTACTCTTCCTCATTATTTTTTCTTTTCTTGATCCTTTTGCTTTCCCTCCTGGTCTGCATGATCTTCACCTGCCCCCCTGGCTTCTGTGGCCTGACCCTCTGTCTCTGCCCTGACAGCTTGGCTTCTTTAAGCGGCAGTACAAGGACATGATGAATGATGCTGGTCCCCAAGAGGCCCCACCCCAATAACGACTCTTCCATGGAACAAGCAGGACTTTGATCAGACCAATATGCAGGTCCCCCAGCTGCTGGATGGACATGTCCTTCAAGGGACTGAGGTGGCGATGTTTTGCTTGGGAAAGACCTGCTTGAATTTTCCATCTCTCTCTCTCTCTCTCTCTCTCTCTCTCTCTCTCTCTGTGTGTGTGTGTGTGTGTGTGTGTGTGTGTGACTCAGGTCTCTTGCCTGTGGTCTGGGCCTTCAGCACAGCCTCTTGGGCAGAAGGGAACTGCTTGCCTTCCTGGTGTGTGGGTTAAGATGCTGCTGGGCTTTGCTCTGCGAGAAGGGATGGCAGCCCTCATGGTGAAGACACTGGAAGTACAGCCACTGCTGTCCTTGCTGAAGGAAGCGAGTCTCTGTGTGAGTGTGGGCAGGCACACAGACTTGCAGGGGCAGGGCAGCCAGCACTGAGGGAATGTGGAGAAGCCATGGGTGGAACCAAGAGCTTGTGAACTGACCAGAGCTGATCCAAATCCATTCCATGCCAGAGCTGATGGTCCCAATAAAGATGTCTAGTTAGGAATGAGAAATCTCACTTTACCTGTGCATTTATTACTTTGATGTTACTTTCATTCTTTGAATTGAAAAACTGTTCTTAGTACAGAAGACATTCAGGATATGGTAAACAGTCTCCCTTCCTAGCTATTCAATTCCCTCTTTGGTGGCACTGAAGACTATGCGTTTTTGGGGCTCCTTCAGAAAGATACTAGGCATGTGCAAACACACATACACACAAGCTGTTTTATACAATTGTAACAACTTTACATTGTTGTCTAGCTTGCTTCTTTCATTAATATGACTCAAGTCATTTTACATTAAAACATAAATAACTTTTTTCATTCTTTTATATGACTGCATAGTATTCCACGGTGAGTGTATCATAATACATTTAACGAGTCTCCTTTGGGTATATGATTTCCAGCTTCTCACTATTACAAACAAGGCTGAACTAATAAATTGGATATATGCAATTTTTGCATATGTATAAGGATAATTTATAATTTATAGGTTATCTTCCTAGAAGTTTGGGTTCTCCCAGAAGCAAACCCAAGACAAGAATTTGAATGGAAAAAATTTATTTAAGAGGTTCCTCAGCCAGTTGTGGTGGTTCATGCCTGTACTCTGAGACTGGAGAGGCTGAGGTAGGAGGATTGAGAGTTTGAGGCCAGCCTGGGCTACACAGCAAGCTCAATCCTAGCCTGGGCTACATAGTGAAACTCTCTTAAAAAACCAAAAAGAAGTGTCCCCACAAAATGCCCATTGGTTGGGGGAATGATGTAGGGAAGAGAAAGCAGCTGTTAATAGTGGGTGGCCATCAGAGATACCACTGTGAACCCTTGGAAGTTGTGGAAGACAGTGAAAAAGATGCACCTTAGGGGGAAGGAGGTGGGTGTGTACACATCATTTCTAGAGTTATTGGTTTAGGATTGCTCTTGGTGGGGAGCAGGGTCTAAAGTCTGAAGCTTTTGCCAGCCCTGAATGTGAGCAGAGTGGCCAGAGAAGGAGATATAGGTGCTGTTAGTTGGAAGTGGGGTGGAAGAGCATAGCCCCTCGCAAGGCCCTGGGGGATATGGGGGGGCACCAGTACCACCTGTCTTTAAGTGACTGTGCAGGACTGGTGGCTGCTTCCTGGTGGCTCTCTGTCTTCTGGGGGCCCAGTGTTCATGTCCCACTCTGGTGTGAATGCAGTGACTCCTCCCCTGGCCTCAATGCTCATCCTCTCCAACTCTCATCCTGGTCCTGCCAGTTATTATCTGAATTTCACCCAGGAGTAAACCGAGTCTTAGATTCTATTGCTTTCCTGCAGTCATCTGATAAGAAGGGAGTGAAGCTGGGATTTACTTCTAGCTCTATCTAGCTCTAAATTTTTTCCTCTTTTAATATCCCAATCCCTCAGCATGAGAGAGTGTGAGGAGACAGTGGTGGTTTTTTTTGCCTGTTATAACAACAAAATTGCCATACAAAATTGATGACATGTTTTCAAAAAAGATTTTTTTGGGGAGAGCTGGAGATGTGGCTCAGTGGTAGAACACTCCCCTAGATGCCCCTGGATTCCATCCACAATACCACCAAAAAGTTTCTTCAAGCAAGGGGCTCTCCCTATGTTGCAGGTTGACTTTAAACTCCTGGGCTCAAAAGATCCTTCTGCCTCAGCCTCCCAAGTAGCTGGGACTCCAGGAGAGTGCTACCTTGCCCAGATTTGCTGATAACGTAATATATATATATGTATATATATATATATATATGTATTATATATAATATATATCTCAATTTTTATGATGTTAATTGATATAAGCAAAACGTGCTTCAGAGGCACACCTGTTTCAGATGCGTTTCGAAGAGGAAGGGGTCCCTTCTTCTGGGGAGGTGAAGGAAAGTGCTGTTTGTAGGTAGCCCTGAGGGCTCATGTGCTGAAATTGAATCCAGTTTGTGAGGAATTAAGAGGTGGGAAACAATCTGACTAAGGAGCTTAGAGGTGGGACCCTTGGGAGGTGATTAGAATTAGATAAGACCCTCAGAGGGGAGCCCCTATGATTTAATTTCAGTGGCTTTATAAGAAGAGGGAGAGAGGCCAAAAGAGACACATGTGTGTTCCCCATCCTTTGCGACGCCCTTTGACACCTCAGGATTCTGAAGCAACAAGACCATGACCAAATGTGGAGCTTCACCCTCAAGAACTGTGGGCCAAAATAAACTCCTTACCTTTATGAGGTATGCCGTCTCAGGTATTTCATTACAGTCATGAAAAAGGGATTAATATTGAAGGGCTCCTAAGGGAGGTGACATCTGGCTCAAGTAGGGGCAGAATCTTCCAGGCAGAGTATGGCAAAAGTGAGGCTGGAAGAGTGGGCAGGAACATGGACATAGGTGCATCATAAATCAGATTAAAGAGTTTGTTTATTCCAAAATGCAGTAAGAGGTGATCAAAAGATGATGGGTGAGACAATGGACCCTTGCATTCTTGGGGGAGTTACACATACATGTTCACCTTTAGATAGTTTTATAAAAGTTCATCTCTTGGTTTGGCATCTTTCATCTTTTTCCTTAAGTTGAAAGACATAACTCTTCAACCCCCCAGAAACTGAGCCAGGAAGGGAGAGCACCTATGTACCTTTTGTCACCTGTCCTTGCTCTGGCAGTTAAGGTCCTGCAGACTTGCAATTCACGTTGACAAGTTGGTGCTTTTTGATGAGTTGGAAAGGCAAATAATTTCAAGTGACAAATTACCCTAGCATGACCACAAAGTTACCAATAAAAAGGGCTATAAATCTCTGGTGATTGCCACAAACTCAAGGAGATCTACCATTGTTTTTGTTTGGGGGGGGTCTCTGACCTCATAATAAATAAATCCCATTGGTATCCATCCTTCTTTTCCTACTCAGTAACAGAACTCTATCTGGGACACAACAGTAGGTTGTTAGATTTTTGACCTCAATGAGTTGTGCCTTCTGGCCACACTTCTCTGCAATGTGACATTGTAGCTTCTTCCACAGAGTGATGAAAACTATTTCTCCACCTCTTTGTAGCTGGACTGGTCTTGTGACTGGCTTTGACCAAAAGGATGTATAAGTGTTGAGTGTGAGTTCTAGAATCTGTCCCTTGAGAAGCATGACAGCTCCTGCCCTCACCCTCTTGGAATGCCAAGGCTTTTGGAGAACAAGTGGCCACATGGAGGAGACAGGGACAGATATCACAAGCGACCATATCTCAAGACATTGTCAAACTCTTACAAACAGGTACCAAAATTGGTGCATGCATGAGGCCATTGTGGACATTGCATCCAGTCCAGCCACCTGAAATCTGTGGACAGGGGACCCTAGAAGAACTGCCTGGATTGTCACCTCACACAACTGTGAGAAACAGAAAGCTGCTGACATTTCAGGGCTCTGTGTTTTAGGGTGATCTCTTATGCTACAATGGATAACAGATATAGCCACCTAGTTGACAGCATATTTCCCAGCCTCCTTTGCAGCTGGAGTGGGCATATGGTAGGGTCTGGGATGTAAGTGGAAGTGAATGAGCAATGTTGGAATCAGGTCCTTTGAGAGAAGGACCGTCCTCCTTTTTGCATTACCATCTTTCCACTGGCCATTTTGGACCTTGCAGATGAGGGTGACACCCATGAATGTCACAGTGAGAGAAAAGACTCTGGATCCTGACTACAGAAAAACCACATTAGCCCTGAACTCTATAGTCTATATTCCCATACTGTTATGGGAGAGAAAAGGACATTGTTATTGTCGAAGACAGATAAACTAAACTGGGCCAGAGGATGTTTTATACCTGACTTCTTACATAATGAACTACAGCCTAGCTTAGTACATAAAACAGATGAAAAAAAATCCAACTTATTTTGTAATAAATGGATGAATCTTGGTGGGTCACAGCAGCTCAGCTGCAAGCAATGGCAGGTAGCCAAATGATTCCAATAGAGCCAATTAAGCTGGTCCTACACTTTACTTCCGTTTTCTATCCATGAATACTGCCTGATCATGTCACTGACCAGAGATCTGACTGTTCTGGTCTTCAGGGTTGCCTGAGTCTAGAATTGTGAATAACAGCCAATTAAGGTTTAAAATTGTTGTAATTTTGTCTTTTGACAAGACATTATTATCCCCAGCTGGATACAACAGCTAGCCCTGTATTGTAACTAACATCACTAACCTTCCCAAAGAGTCCACTTTCCTATTTAGTTCGAGAAACTGAATTTGTGATGAAGCTTGAAGGCCTTCTGATGGTGCTGTCATCCCATTTCTTAGCATTTCAATACCCCTCCCTCTCATTACTACTCATGATATGGCCAGTAGAGGGCCTGGGAGCAAACCCTCCATTCACCCTGGGGACAATTACAGGCTGCAGTTACATTTCTTACTTGAGTAGGATTTCCTGAAGAACCCGCTTGGTTTGGTGTTCAAGAATTTATACTTGATCTTTAAGAGTACCATGGGGAGAGTCTTACCCCTTCAGCCCTTCCCACCTGGTGACAGAATGACCTGACAGAGAAATTAACTGTGATCTGTCTGTCTTGTAGATGTAGAAGAAAGGTGCTGGACAGATGATGTGTGTCTGGATGGTATGGATTTCCTTTCTGTTATGGTTTGGATCTGAAATGTCCCCCAAAGGCCATGTGCTAAGGGCTCGGTCACCAGTCTGTGGGAGGTGGTGGAACCTTCAAGGGGTAGGGCCTAGTGAGAGGAAATTAGGCCACTGTGGACATGACTTTGATTGGTATACCTTGTTCCCAGCTCCTTCCTCTCTCTTCCTCTCTCTGTTTTTGTTTCTTGGCTGCCATTAGATGAGTGGCTTTGCTCTGCTACATGCTCACCACCATGACATTCTGCCTCACTATGACCCAGACCCATGGACAGAAACCATGAGCTAAATCTTGCTTCCTTTAAGTTACCTTTCTCTGGTATTTTGTCACAGTAACAGAAGGCTGACCAACATACCTTTCCCAGGGCAACATACACAGGCTAAGTTTTTTGAAATTCTTGGCTCTTAGCCATTTCCAAGGGAGATTTCAAGGAGGCAATCCTTGGGTCGCCTTATCTAGAGAATTGTCTTGGCTGAATGGGAGCAATTTCTATCCCTGGATGGTGGGGGTGGGTGAAACTGTGGCGAGAGGTCAATGACTGATTGACACAGGGAGCACCAAGGGCCTGACTCTGGTCTCAAAGTGGGACCATTCCATGATACAAGTCATGCTCTCTAGTTTCCTCTAGGATCAGGATGGAGTTGATTCCAGTGGAGATCTCACTGTCACTTAGCTTTTTCC